TTTCTGGAATTCCAATCATACACATTAGACTGCTTAGTTTCTTAAAAACTATTTAAAGCAAAAATAGTAACATTACATAATGGAATTTATTACATATGTAGCAATGAAGTATATCACAAAAATGGCACAAAATATGAAGGGATAGGAATGCAATTTTACTCTCTTACATTTTATGTGTACAATATTAGCCCCAATTAGACTAGAGTAGGTTTCAAGTACATATACTCCCCTGAGCAACTACTTAAAACAATTCAAAGCTATATAGCTAGAAGTCCAATAGAAGAATTGAAATGTAGTCTTAAAAATATCTGATTAGCCGGGCGCGGTGGCTCAAGCCTATAATCCCAGCACTTTGGGAGGCCGAGGCGGGTTGATCACGAGGTCAAGAGATCGAGACCATCCTGGTCAACATGGTGAAACCCCGCCTCTACTAAAAATACAAAAAATTAGCTGGGCATGGTGGCACGTGCCTGTAATCCCAGCTACTCAGGAAGCTGAGGCAGGAGAATTGCCTGAACCCAGGAGGCGGAGGTTGCGGTGAGCCGAGATCGCGCCATTGCACTCCAGCCTGGGTAACATGAGTGAAACTCCGTCTCAAAAAAAAAAAAACAAAAATAAAAATAAAAATATCTGATTATACCAAAAGAAAAAGAAACAGTATAATGAGAAGAAATAACAGATGGGATATACATAAAACTAAAAGCAAGATAGTAAACTCAATCTCAATAATATCAATAATTACAATCACTATAAATAGATTACACACCCAATTAAAAGGCAAAGATTAGGCTGGGCACAGTGGATCATGACTGTAATCTCAACATTTTGGAAAGTTGAGGCAAGAGGATCTCTTGAGGCTAAGGGTTCAGGATTGCTTGAAGCCAGGTGTTCAAGGCCAGCCTGGGCAACACAGTGAGACCCCATCTCAAAAGAAAAAAAAAAAGAAAGACAATGGGAAAGGTCTTAAATCAATGATCTCAGTTTCTACTTTAAAAAGATAAAAAAAAAAAAGGAGAAAATTAAAGGCAAAAAAGTATAAGAAAGAAAGTAAAAAAGAGCAGAAATCAAGACAGTAGAAAATGTACAAACAATGAAGAGTAACAGTTAAGAGCTGTTTTTTTGGAAAGGAGTAATAAAGTTAACTGACCAAGACAAAAAGAAAGAAAACATAAAACTACTGAAACCAGGAATGAAAGAGGGATATCACTATATAGATCCTACAGACGTCAACAAACTTTCTAGGGTGATGGTAATATTCTATATCATAAATGATACATTGTAAAAGGTGAAAGATGTGTTCATTCTGAAGAGAAACCAGAGCTTCATATATTGTTACATATATATGCATTTGTTAAAACTCATTGACTTGTATACCTAAGATCTATGCATTTGACTATAAGTAAATTTTACTTCAATAAAAAAATTAAATTGAATGTGTAACGCTCTCAGTTGGCTTATTTACTTCCTTTTTTATATGCTTTCTTGCAAACCAGTGTTTAGGTAGGACCGAAATTTATTCAATCTGTTCTCTAATTTACAAATGCAGTCTCTGACCTATTCATTTTGCAGTTAAATTGTGTGTTTCTGTTTCCTTTCTTCTTAGATTATGAACTCCTTAAGAAGTCTGGCTCTTCTGTACACTGTGTTCTGAGAGCCTCATATGGTACCATGAACTTTGTGGGTGCTTCACAAATATCTAATTTATTTCTCGACTCTCAGCATTTGCTCATAATTAAAGTTGGCTGAACTAAACCAAGATAGGATAAAATATCAGTCATTTAAGGAGGTGAATTAGAGCATGCCTGGGAGTGTTTGTGCTTGTATAGTACATCTCTCCATTCCAAAACAGATGAATAATGATTTGGGTTCATTTCATATTAGCTATTTATTTTTTCTTAATTACTGAACATGATTAATATTTTCTATTTTTAATGGGTCCAGGAAGTCACTTCAAAAATGTTGTAACAGCATCTTTAACAAAGTTAAAGATTACTGTGACCCGATTCCTTGTCACAAACTTCATTAATGGAAATGATATTACGTAGGATGCATAGCATGCGTCTAAGAAAAAACCCCCTAATGTCAGCTAAATGAGTACACAAGTATGTACAACATCTCCCCGGAACACACTAATTAAAAGAAATTTAAATGGGAGGCAAATATCAAATACGAATTGGTATCTTGAACATAAGAGAGTGAATAAGGTTAACTACTAAGGGTGTGTCCTTGGGAGACAAGAAAGGATAAAAGGGAGAAACTCTGGGCAGACGGAGAGAAAGAGAAAGAAGTGGAGGACAAATGGGAGGACATTTATTTTAAGGCATCAGAAGTTTGAATTCATCAGTTCAGGGGCCCCGTGTGCTCCTTTCTTTCATCCTCAGCATTTATTGCGCATTGATTTTGCACCAGGTGCTTTGCGAGGCAGTCTAGGATATCATAGGCATGTACAAAGGATCCATAATCTCCAACATTTGGGTAACTGTCTCTCTTATTGCATTTATGGATCCTAGCACTCTACCTGCTCCCTATTTAGGTTTTAAACCCTCACGAAGATCCTGCTGTATCTTATAACCTCCCTTTTTCTTTCCCAGAGCATTTTAAGCAGTGGAAGTAGCATAGTATCATGGCCCTTTAAGCCCTAGAGAAGGGGTTTTTGCCTTGGGCCCCATGTCTTAGCAGGCTCCATGTACCACGAGCACAAAAATATGTTTATTAAAAAATCCATGGGCAGGAGTTACCTGTGGTATGGTCTCAGCTCTGGCACAGCATGACCTGTGATCCTAAACAGCCTCTTTCAAGATTAATGGCAGCATTCACCTTGCCATCTTTTGTCCTGTGTTCTTCAAATAAAAGGTGACTGTGCTGGAATTCTGTGAAGGTTGTAGTTTGGGCCACTGCCAACTTCAGAAACATATTATTTCTGAGGGAGGTATTTGAGCAGTAGAAGTGCTTAGGTAAGACAAAAAAGCAAATTATCAGTTCTTTCCTCTCAGATCATATAAATATATTTTTGCATAATGAATTATATCCCAATACTGCCCAGCATCCATTTACTTGCTTGCTCTTAACATGGCACCTGGGAAACATTTTGCAATATTAAATGATTTGTATTACTCATACATCTACCTATGTAGATACAGATATGTAGGTTTAGATATAACATTCATGAAGCATGATACTGATTCTTCACATAAAAGCTTGGATATTGATATTGATTTTAAATATGGCAAAAATAGTATATGCTAATGATTTATATGATGGAATTAAGTAGTCTATAATATTTTAGCAATTATAATAATTTATCATATGTGGCTTCATTATAATGTTTAGACACAAAACATAAAGTTCATGATTTGCTTCTGAGTCTAATTATTGCTTTAGAAATTTTATTTCACTTGCTGTTGTCTCAGTGCTGTTGTTCTCCAAATTGAAATTGGTAAAAATACAAAAACAAACTTACATAGGGACTTCTGTGGCTCAAGAAAGGCTATCTAATTTGGAGTTACTTATAGTAGAAGGACATAATGTAAAAATCTTGATTATGACCACATAATTAGTGATTTTGGTAAAATGAAAGCAAGAGTAGTAAATTTTACAGAATCAGTGTAATTAATGAATTATATATGCCTTTGTTACTCACCCAGTTTTCACTGGCTCATCAACAGAACACTCTGACATGTGCAATTGTAATTAAATTCGATTGTCTTTGATATTTACCTGACTTGTGATCACATAGAAACATTGTTTTACACATTTTAAAATTTTGTTGCTTATAAAGGTAATTTGCCAAGGTAAGTGGTTAGAATATATTTTATCTGAAAGTTTATTAATGTTGCCAATTGCTTTGAAGTATTTTCTCTATTGGTGTGTGGGTCTCCATTTGTATTCTTGCCCTGGGCCATGGGAATGCTAGGGGAAGTTCCACAAAGTAGCATGTGATTAATACATTTTTGTTTATTGGTTGATATAGGATCTTCATGAGAAATAAACATTTTCTTTCTTTCTTTTTTTTTTTTTAATTTTTTTTTCCCCGAGACGAAGTTTCGCTCTTGTTACCCAGGCTGGAGTGCAATGGCGCAATCTCGGCTCACCACAACCTCCGCCTCCTGGGTTCAGGCAATTCTCCTGCCTCAGCCTCCTGAGTAGCTGGGATTATAGGCACGCACCACCACGCCCAGCTGATTTTTTGTATTTTTAGTAGAGACGGGGTTTCACCATGTTGACCAGGATGGTCTTGAACTCTTGACCTTGTGATCCACCCGCCTCGGCCTCCCAAAGTGCTGGGATTACAGGCGTGAGCCACCGCACCCGGCATTGCCCAGATTTTTGAATGTCATTTTCTACTAAAAAGGATCAGGGGTTTCCAGAGATAAGACTAATTCCAATTTTAGTTAAAACTTTTGGAACATCTTGTTGAGCCAGAGACCAAAAGATTGCTCTTGAAGGAGATTTCACTGCTCAAGTTGAGCATCGAATAAGTGATATCTATCATCTAAGGGATTATAACCCATTGACTATAATAGGATATCGTAAGTCCATGCTAATAAAAATTAATAAATAGAACATCTGATAAAGAATGGGTTATTTACATTGTTTCAAAGTGATTCCACACAGAATATTCATTAATTATAAAGAGAAGAGTAAGTTTATAGTGGAGATGCCTGGCAGACAGCACCTTAATCAAATGATTAAAGCTGATATTATCAGTAAAGGAACAAATAATAATGCAATGAGGGGAACACATCATAATTTCTGTAATATTCTTGCTGAAGTCATGTAACCTGAATTTAATAATTTCTCATGAATTTAATCATGAGAAAATATCAGACAACTCCAAATTAAGAGACATTCTATAAAATAACTGCTCTGTAATCTTCAAAAATGTCAAGGCTATGAAAGTCAAGGAAAGACTGAGGAACGGTTCTAGGCTAAAGGAGACTAGAGACAGGACAACCCAATGCAATATGTGTATGTTATCTTTTTTTTTTTTTTTTTTCCACAAGACAGAGTCTCGCTCTGTTGCCCAGGATGGAGTTGCAGTGCCTGATCTCCGCTTACTGTAAACTGCGCCTCCCAGGTTCAAGTGATTCTCCTATCTCAGCCTCCTGAATAGCATACCTGGCAATTTTTGTATTTTTTAGTAGAGATGGGGTTTCACCATGTTAACCAGGCTGGTCTCTAACTCCTGACCTAAAGTGATCCACCTGCCTCGGCCTCCCAAAGTGCTGGGATTACAGGCACGAGCCACCGTGCCTGGCTGCAATATGTGATCCTTAACTGGATCTATAAAGGACATAAATGGGACAATTGGGGTCTGAGGATGAAATTGTATTGTAGTATTAGTGTTAGTGTTAGCTTTCTAATTCTAATGGTTGTGTTGTGGGTTTGCAGGAAAATGTTCTTGTTTGTAGGAAATACATGCTAAAGTACTTGTGGGTATTGGGGTTTCAGGTTAGAAACTTATTTTCAAATGATTTCTTCCAGAAGAAAAGTTTTTTGAACTCTACTTGCAACTTGTCTGTAAGTTTGAGATTGTTTCAAAATAAAAAGTTTATACTAAATATAAACATTTAAAAATTATCCTTTAAATTGGCTAAATATAATTCTGAAAATGAATTAAAAAACAACAAATCAGGCTGGGCACACTGGCTTACACCTGCAATCCCAGCACTCTGGGAGGATAAGGTGGGAAGATATCTTGAGGCCAGGTGTTTAAGACCAGTTTGGGCAACATAGCAAGGTCCCTTCTCTACAAAAAAAAAAAAAAATATATATATATATATATATATGTATTTTTAATTAGCTGTGTGTGGTGGTGTGTGCCTGCAGGACCAGCTACTTGGAAGGCTGAGTGAGAGAATTGCTTGAGCCCAGGAGGTGGAGGCTGCAGTGACTGCACCACTGCACTCCAGCCTGGGTGACAAAGTGAGGCCCTGTCTTATAAATAAATAAGTAAATCAACCCATCAATCTATTTTAGCCGACTACCTAAATACACTCCCAAGAACACAGCTTATATAGGACAACCCAGGTGTCTGTGTGTGTGTGTGCATGCATGCATGTGTGTTTGTGTGTGTGTGTATGTGTGTGTGGTGTTCTAATGAAATAGCAGGTACTCAAAGCGTACAAAGTTTTAGTTACACAGGAGGAATAAGTTCTGTAGATGTGTGTTGTACAGCATGGCGACTATAGTTAATACTAATGTATTTGTACACTTGAAAATTGCTCAGAGTATTTTTAAATGATCTCACTGCAAATAATGATAGTTGGTCAGGTAATGCATATGTTAATTAGCTTAAATTAATAATTTCACAACGTGTGTGTATATATATATATGTATATATATATATAAACATCACGTTGTACCCCATAAATATATACAATAAGAAAGAAATGGCAGATACAATGTGACAAATGGTGTGCCTTGTAAGTGATAAATAAGCACAAAGTGCCACATAGCAAGGGGGAGAAGCCTGTATTTGTGTGAATACTGATGAGCACTCAGGACTGATGTCTGAAGTGGACTACTGAGAGGAAAGTCTATTTCTACATTGTTAGAGCAAAAAATAGCATGTGTTTCTGTCTGCTAAGGCAGAGCATCGCAAATGGCTGCATTAATTGATTGATTCATCTTGGCTCTGCTATTCCTGTGAGACCCAGACAAGTCACTTAATCTCCCTATACCTCAATTTCCACATATATAGAATAAGGATAACAGTGCCTACCTCATAGGTACTCATAGGGTGAACTTAAATAAGTTAATATATGTAAAGTGCTTAGAACATTGCCTGGTACAGAACAAGTGCTACATGAAAATGTTAGCTATTATTTTTGTTTTGTTATTTACTTTTTTTTTTTGAGACAGGGTCTTACTCTGTCACACCCAGGCTGGAGTGCAGTGGTGTGGCCATGGCTCACTGCAGCCTCGACTTTTCAGGCTCAAGTAATCCTCCCACCTCAACCTCCTGAGTAGCTGGGACTACAGGCATAAACCATGCCCAGATAATTTTTGTGTTTTTTGTAGAGATAGGGTTTCACCATGTTGCTCATGCTGGTTTTGAACTCTTGGGCAATCTGCCCTCCTTGGCCTCCCAAAGTGCTGGGATTACAGGTGTGAACCACCTGTTATTGTTATTAACTCATTCATCAATGGTACAATTTGCATTCCTAAATATTTATAATGGTAGGGTGATGGTTCTTCTCCTTACCAGGAGTTGAAAGAAACTTTCCCTGTTGCGGAAAAAGCTTGTACCCTGTAGTCTGTGTCCCTTTGGACTTTCCTTAATGGTGAAACATCAATACCCACCACACTCTGATCCCAACTTTTCATCCTGACCCTGGAACCCCTCTTGCTGAGCTGGGAGCCCTTGCCAGCACAGAACGTATCTTATATTTTCTGGCAAATGGTTTTTTGTTTTCCTTCATTTGACTCTGCTTTTATAGTTACCTCTTCTCCATCTCCTTTCAGAATGAATCAAACTTGGACTATCGATCAAACTTCGCCTTTCTCTGTGTCTCACAGTCTATCTGCTTTGCTTTATTTCAAAGTCAACAAAGTATCTTCAGTACATTTGAAACAGAAATACTTTGGCATTTTTATTTGATGTTTTGTATTTTCAATAAGCATTCAATGCTAAGGCCTCAGAAATCTATGATTATAGAGCACGTTGAACACTGACCCAAGAGGGTTTAGGAGATTTTTCTTAGGCTCATATGGAAAATTCTAAGCTTCACTTGTTGTTATCAATCAATACTTAGACTTCAGTTCTTTTTTGTTTGCATCTGTTTGTGGACTCATTTGGGCAACTCTTTTATAGTCTGTGACTCATTTATGTGTGCATTTTATTGCTGTGTCACTGTGAAGAGTAGACGGCAATAAATAAATGTTGACTTGATTTAAGGACTTGAATTTCCCTAGCATTTATAGATTGCCATTTTTAATGCTGCCATCTCTTTTAAAGTCGTTTGCTTGTGAACTTCTAAGAATATACAGTAAAAGCTTGTGTTTTCTTCAGCTAATCTAACACTCATGCCTAAATGTATACATCTGTGGGTAGAACAGGAACTTCAGAATTAGTTACAGCTGGGTTTCACTGTTGGCGCCTCAAGAAAGTAGTTGATAATAACTGTATGTTTGGGCAGATCTCTTCATCTGTAAAATATTGGTAATTGTCTTTCCAAAAGACCACCAGAAAAGAAAAACAAAACAAGCTATTGCTCAAACAAATCTAAATGTATTAGACTTACTGTAATAAGGGCAAAACATCACCTTGACAGAGACATAGTCATATCTCAGAAGGGAAAAGTCTGAAGGATACTTATGGGAATTAGGGTGAAGGCTGGGTAGTTTTAACGTGGAGAACTGGTTGAGGATTGGGCAGAAATTATGACACAGTAGCTTTGATTTGGTGAGCCCAAGTGAGGCAAGCATTTAATTAATCTTGGAATTAAACTATTTTACTTGGCTCATGGTCTTGTCTTTCGGCAGCAAGTAGCTAGGTTATTTTTGCTTTATTCTCAGTATGGTTTGCACAGAGGTATGTCCAGTCTTAGGACTGTTTAACATAGTGTATGGTTGACACACCTGACAGCATAACTAATAATGGCAGATGCACCTGAACATGTGTTTGCAGTTCTGAGCTAAGGAATCTGGGAGTGGCCAATCTGAAAAGTCATTTCTTATTTCTGGAGGAATGTCTGAGCTCCCATCCTGTCCCGTGGAACGTGGGCTGTCCAGGGGATCGAGGCCCCTTGTTTGGGATTAAATGAAGGTTGCCAGGTGGAGGTTAAGGGGAGAGTGCTAAGGGAAAATGCTATATAAATCGTGTGATTTGTTTTTGTTTTTTACAAGCAGTGGGTGTTCTTCTGCCAGCCTGCCGCCACGGGACTGCTCTGTATGTAAGTTTCCCGCTAATAAAGCCCTGTTTCCTTTGCTGGCCTCCCTTTTCTTCGGCCTCTTGAACCTGGTGCCATCTCTATTGAGGTTAGTAGGGGTTCCGCATGACACATTGGTATGGGAAATTTTACTAGTTTCAGTTCTCAATGATCATTTATGTCATGAGATTATTGTGAGTATGAAATAGAATACTGTAGCCAGGTGCAGTGGCTCATGCCTGTAATCCCAGCACTTTGGGAGGCTGAGGCAGGGAGATCATGAGGTCAGGGGTTCGATACCAGACTGACCGACATAGTGAAACCCCATCTCTAATTAAAAATACCAAAATTAGCTGGGTGTGGTGGTGTGCACCTGTAATCCCAGCTACTTGGGAGGCTGAGGCAGGAGAATAGCTTGAACCTGGGAGGCGGAGGTTGCGGTGGGCCGAGAGCACACCATCATACTCCAGCCTGGGCAACAGCGAGACTCCATCTCAAAAAGAAAAGAAAAAAAAAAGAAATAGAATGCTGTATATAAACGAGACTGGCAGTGAGTAAGTGTTCATTAAAATGTTAGTTTCTTTTCTCTCCTAACACAGCTTCCCAACCCTTCACCTGTATTTTTTTAATATTGGGATTTCATCTAACTATTTTTTTTTTTTGAGACGGAGTTTCACTCATGTTACCCAGGCTGGAGTGCAATGGCGCGATCTCGGCTCACCACAACCTCCGCCTCCTGGGTTCAGGCAATTCTCCTGCCTCAGCCTCCTCAGTAGCTGGGATTACAGGCACGCGCCACCATGCCCAGCTAATTTTTTGTATTTTTTATTAAAAAAAAGTTTTAACAAGTTGACCCGGATGGTATCGATCTCTTGACCTTGTGATCCACCCGACTCGGCCTCCCAAAGTGCTGGGATTACAGGCTTGAGCCACTGCGCCCGGCCATCATCTAACTATTTTTTATTTTCTGGGACAGAGACTCACTCTTGTCACCCATGCTGGAGTGCAATGGCACTGTCTTGGCTTACTCCTCCCCCTAGGCTCAAGCGATCCTCCCACCTCAGCCTCCAAAGTAGCTGGGATTATAGGTGCAAGCCACCACAACTGGCTAAGTTTTTGTATTTTTGGTAGAAATGGGGTTTCATCATGTAGCTCAGGCTGGTCTCCAACTCCTGAGCTCAAGCAATCCACCTGCCTTGGCCTCCCAAATTGCTGAGATTGCAAATGTGAGCCACAACGCCAGGCTTCATCTGCCCGTTAACAGCATCTAACTCAATGCTATACCACAGTAATAGTACTAAAAAAATGTTGAATGAGTGAATGAAAATCAAAAGGTATAATTTTAAAAAGCCAAACCAAGTACTTTGC